TATATATATATATATATATACATATATATATATATATATATATATATATATATATATATATATATATACTTCTCTCCTTTTTTTTCGCCAAGCTTGGGATCTATATATATGTGAATACATTCATTCCAAACTAAGATCTTTACACGATCCACGTCATTCCTTCAATTTTTGCAACTTTTTGTCTGGCAAACAAAAGATTAAATACATTTTGTCTGAGGAGACCAAACATTTGAACTTTTCTTTAACTACAGTTCAGCTACAATTACGTTTTCATATTTTAAAAAAGTTTACGAATTTTTTTTCAAAAATACTGAATTGACTTTAATTATTTCTGAATGCAAAAACTAGTTAAGAAAGTAGCCTTGCATGAATATTTGAATATATTTAAGAATGGACCCTGATATTTGAATCCTGATGAATTCTTCTACTAGAAGACATCAAAATCACTTAATTTATGGTCATCGAGGCTGATCTATATTTTGTCTGAATGATTCTGTCTTTCTGAAAGGGATCCAGAGGCCTGCAAGGTCAAACAGGCCTGCCTGGTATTCAAGGAAGAGAGGTAAGAGTCCAAACTCAGTCCTGCAGCATGTTTCTTTAAAAACAACAAAAAAAGCAAATAACAATGTGGATAAAGCATAAGATGCTTGTTATTGTAGGGATATAAAGGAGCTAAAGGAGTTCGGGGAAGAGGAGGAGACACCGGACCAGTTGTGAGTAAATTAGATTAATACTTATTATAATGAGTTTACTCGCTTTATCTGTTTTTCTGTCTGGTAATTACTCCCAAAACTTCCCTTGCTGACATTGTAATCAGGAGCTGAAAGTGAAAACTAAGCAAATTCAGACGAAAATGAAACCAGACGTAATCTACAGTGCTGGAAACATCAAAGAATATTTGGTTGATTTTGATTTCCAAAGTAAAAGTGAAATTTAAAAAGCAGTTGGATGAAAATGGTTTCAATTTCGAAAATGTAATAAAATAATTTTTTAAAATTAAAGGAATGTATATCCATGTAGATGAAGTGTAAAAGATGTGACATGAATGATATCTTTAGTTCTGAGTGTTCTTTGCACTTGCAGGGCGATGCAGGACCCGAAGGAGAAGAAGGAGCTTCAGGTTTCTCTGGGGGGATGGTCAGTTTACTAAATAAGACCTAAAAATTCATATGACTTTTAAACTTTACCTTTAAATGATTTAGCTGGATAATTTCACAGGATTCTAATGAAGCTGAAAACTTTGTTTAAAAAGCAAACTGATTCTTTCAGGGTGAACCTGGACTTCAGGGAGAGCCAGGTGAACCTGGAGAGCTTGGTCTGAAGGTAATTATACACCAAATCTCAATTAACTCACAATGACGATGTCTTAGAATAAAGTTTATTGCCATGTTTTCAACAAAGAATAAGTTTTGAAATAAAGGATAGCAGAAATTTCCCAAATAGAAATTTATTTTGAAGACGAATCTTCACATCTAAAACAGTTAAAAGCTTCTTCTAATAGGAAATAAATTCTATCCAGATAGAAATTGTTTGTCCCCAATCTTTTCAAAACTAAAGATCACCATGTTCATTTAAACTATGTGGCATAACCACTTACTGAGGAGAAATATATGGCAGCAAAAGATATGATGTTTTTAGACAAAAGCACAAAGTAGAAAAGTATGAGTCTGAACACAAAGCCTTGTGGTTCTCCAATTTCTATTGAAGATGAGAAAATGTATAAAAAATGTTGAAGGAAGGATTGATTGATTGATTGATTGATTGATTGATTGATTGATTGATTGATTGATTGATTGATTGATTGATTGATTGATTGATTGATTTGTTAATGTCTATTGTCTCTTTTGGTTGACAGGGGGACATCGGTATGGAAGGTCCCCGAGGAGGAGTTGGAACTGCTGGTGAGCCTGTAAGGAGCTAAATCTGCCACCCACCTGGACAACATTTTATCTTCTAATATGTAATGAAAAGTTTTAATAGAAACATTTAAAACTTTGTAAAAGTTTGGAATATTTAACTGCTGCCATGTGACACATTTAGGGTTTATGTTTTAATCTAAAAGTTAGCATTGGACGTACAAAGTATAAGTAATATTTTAAAAATCAGCATTCATGTTTTGAGGTCAGCTATGAGTTTATAGTAAAGTTTTAAGGACTGAACAACATTAAAAACACATAGTTGCATTTGTGAAGCAAATATATTGAACATAAACAACATGAAATTATATTATTGTTTGCAGCTAGATGTGTTTTATTTGTTAACAAAAGGATAAAGAATTTATCTAGATAAACTAATATTAAATCAAAAACAGCAAAAACTTAAAAAAAAAATTACAGTAAACTATAGATTAACTGAATGACTATGGGGAATTATATCCTATGCATTTACTAAGCCCCTATGAGGGTCACATTGGGATCAAGGTTCTCAGGGACCCAGAATGTTGGTGCTAGGACACAGTGTCTCCTGGACAATGATTTCTTGCTCTCTAACAAACTAACCGCTGCACTACAATCATAATAATAACCAGAAAATATTCTTGAGTATACAAAATGAAAATAAAAGTTGTAAAGTGCTAAAATAAAACAATTTGTTTTGCTGATTTTATATTCTCACAGGCTAAATTTGAAAAGGGAAGCCCCGCTAGCTCGGACGGTAGAGCATGAGACTCTTGATCTCAGGGTCGTGGGTTTGAGCCCCATGTTGTTGGGAGAGTGTTGGCCTATTGGTTAGATGTAGCAGTGCCCTTATGCTCTTGAGAAGGTTGCAAGTACCTGGTCAATCCCTACAGCTTCCACTCTGGATTCCTGAACAAAACCCTTAACCCCACACTGCCATTGTGTGGACTCCACACAATGGCAGCCCACTGCTCCCTAAAGCCGGTACATACACTTTACGACTTTACAATCGTTGCACGCAGCTACAGCTCACACTGCATGATAAAACCGCGGGGCTTAAAAGTTCACAGCTCACGATGTTTATTCTCACAATGTGCTGCCCGACGCTCTGATGCGATCTACCTGCTCACATTGTACGTCTAAAAACCACGTCAGACTCAGCTCCGCAGTGGGATGTCGTTACTCGGACTCGTCTATCTGGAAGCCAAATGAGGAGAAGAGGAATATCAAGCTCATTAGAGTGAACACGCTGTCTTGGCAATATGTGCAATTTGGTACTGAATGCCCTAACAAGAAAAGGCAACGGCTATTTGGACAAAGACATGGCTGAGCAAATGTGGCTACTACGTTCTGTCAATTTTACAGAAAAAAACTCTATTTGGTCGTGCCTTGGTGGCGCATCGGTTAGTGCACATGACCCATGTATGGAGGCCTTAGTCGTCGACGCTGCTGACCCGGATTTGCATCCGACCTCTAGTCCATGTCTCTCCCCCTCTCTCACATCCCCTTTCCTGAATTTCAAAGATGTTTGATTTTCTCCCGACCTTACAATTCCTGATCGGGATCGCCCCTGGTTACCCCCTGTATACTAGATTAGATAAGATTAGATTAGATTAAACTTTACTGTCATTACACATGTACAGGTACAAAGCATTTAAAGTGAATTACAAAAGGATAGTTTAGTATAAAGCTCATGTTAAAGGAGATAAGAAGCTTTGAAACTAAAAATCAAGACATTTTAAAAGCAGCTGCACATGATGAANGCCACCCACCTGGACAACATTTTATCTTCTAATATGTAATGAAAAGTTTTAATAGAAACATTTAAAACTTTGTAAAAGTTTGGAATATTTAACTGGTCAACTGCATTGTCTTATTTCAAGTCTTTATTTGAAATTATCTTAAAGAGTAAAAATGCTTATTCCATTGGCAGAACATCTCATATACCTACTCAAATTAAGGGTAAATACACTTAATTTAAGACATTTTTACTTATTTTTAGATTGTTTTTGCATTGAAGTTGCTTACTTTGACATGATACTTCTTTTTGCTCTGCTACATTAACAAGAATAGCATCATCTGTAAAATATCTGTACAAATTATCAGTCTCTCAGGTCATTCAGCCACAAAACAGGCCTAAATCAGAGGGAACTGGACCTTCATTCAGTTTTTCTAAAAACGATTCAACACGTTTCCACGAGTCTTTGTCAGTTCTGTGAACTCACACTACATCAGGGATTCTTAACCCTGGTCCTCAGGGTCCACTGAGCTTCATGTTAAGATGTGTCTCTACAGCACACCTGATTAAAATGATTGTAATTTCCTCCTTGACAGACCTAAAATGCTGCAAAAGCCATTGAATTACCTTTTCATTCAGGTCAGGTGTGTGGAGGCAGGGAAACACCTAAAACATATATAGGACCGTGGGCCCTGAGGACCAGGGTTATGAAACCCTGCACTAGAGAACCCTGTGGTTGGAGCGCTGTATGAGTTTTAAACTTGGCCATTTGAATCATGATCAGACTGATGTGTGCTTTCTTTGAAATTAGTTTATATGCTTGGAATATGAAGCCACAATCCTCCCCCTCTGTTCAGTGATGACTTTTCCTTTATAACAAAGATGGCTTCCTTCCTTTCAAACCCTCGTTCCTGGGTTCAGGATCTGAACATTTTGGTCGTCACAGGTTGGTCTTGCAGGTACAGCCGAATCTTTCCCACAAAGCTGTGCTGCTCCATGTGTTTTTTGCAGCTGTTTGGCTTCCCTGATGGAGTCTGAGCAGTAACACATTGCATAAAAAAACAACATTCAGCTGGTTTGACGGCTTCTGTCTTTGGGATGAGCCAGTTCTTGTATTAGTTGTGGGGTTTGAAATTCATGTTTGTTTGGAGAAAGTTTGGTTTGTTTCTTCTAAAATTGTTGGTGTTTGTAAACTGCCCACAATCTGGACCATATCAATGTAATAGTGTCACATTCTGATCATAGCTGAAGATGCTGGACCAGCAGATCCATCTGGTTGGCCTTACTCTATGGTTCTACTTGGATATTTAAAACAACATACATAAAGACAAAAACATACAAAAAGATTAAAAAAAAAGTTTTATAGGTTGTGCCTTGGTGTGGTTGTGAGTTTCTTTGAACCAAATCAGAGGTTATACAGGAACATTTCAAGTTAATTGCAAAAGGATAGTTTAGTATAAAGCTCATGTTAAAGGAGATAAGAAGCTTGACACTAAAAATCAAGACATTTTAAAAGCAGCTGCACATGATGAAGCTTAGCCTTATAAATTAAGCCTCTGGTTTTAACGAAATGAGGAGATTTATTAACATATATTGAAATAAAGTAAAAAGAAAAAAAAATTAAATTTCTGATTAAAGATGTGATGACTTTTGTAATGAGATTGTAATAACATACCAAGGTGTAACCGACCCAAAGGTTATTCATTCATAGCAGTCCTATGTCTGATCTTATTGTGATTGATTTCTCTTAGTAAATGTGACAATTACGGCCTTTAAACATGTTCATGCTGATGCAGTTAAAGGTGGTTTTTAAAAGATAGTCTTAAACATTTCAGTGTTATTCTCATGAGGTGAGCCAGATGGGCTGCAGCAGGTGGCAGACATTATAATTTATCTGGAAACCCCCCTGAACTTCCTCTGCAGGCGGCGTAGCGGGGATTCACTAACCTCACAGTAACGGTAAACAGCAACCTTTGGAACCATCATGTCTGGGCATAAAAACCCGCTTCATCTTAGATTTAACTTTACTCTCAGCTATCATACTGAGGCCTTTTGTTCCCCCAACGCTTACTGTTCATATATGTCAGTTATAAGCACTTTTTTTTGACTGAGATTCACATAATACAATCACGTCTACTAAGATTTAAGCATCATTACTTAATAATTAAAACAATTTAAACTCATATTTACTCTGATTTAGCAAGATTTGTTACTTTTGTCCATTATTTAGTAAAATTTCAGCTAAGTTTATTTACGACCAATTCATTTTCCAGGATTAAAGGATAAATGTCTCAGCATGATCTGGAAAAACTAATCCATGCGTTTATTTTTTGTCGAATTGATTACTGCAACAGTGTTTTCACAGGTCTGCCTAAAAAGAGGATCAGACAGCTGCAGCTGATCCAGAACGCTGCTGCCCGTGTCCTCACTAAGACTAAGAAAGTAGAGCACATCACCCCGGTTCTAAAGTTCTTACACTGGCTCCCTGTATCTCAGAGAATAGACTTTAAAATACTTCTGTTAGTCTATAAATCTCTGAATGGCTTAGCACCTAAATACATCACAGACTTGCTATCAGTGTATCAACCCTCCAGACCACTCAGGTCTTCTGGCTCCAGCCTGCTCTGCATACCTAGAACCAGAACTAAACATGGAGAAGCAACAAACAACAGAAAACTGTAAAAGTGCGGAAAGCCTGAGTTCCTTTAAATCAAGACTAAAAACGCATTTATTTAGGATTGCCTTCGACTGTTCTAGTTAAACAGTTCAACTAAAACATATTTTCTTTAGTCCAACGTTTTTTTAATATTCTTTTTTGTTTCTGCATTTTGTATTTTATTTATTTATTTATTTTTTTCTTACTTGCTTTGATTCTGTTTTATCTTCCTGTATTTTAATCATGTAAAGCACTTTGCATTGTCTTTGTACTGAATTGTGCTATACAAATAAATTTGCCTTGCCTTGCCTTGCCTTTAAATTTACCCTGCTAATACTTATCTCTAACATTTATCCCAGGGGCCTCGTGGGGACCCAGGCTCTTCAGGATCAAGAGGAGGTAAAGGCATGAAGGTACCACAGTTTTTATTTTGTGCTTGTATTTTTTCCTGTTTCCTTTGCCAACATGTAACAATAGAAAATGCATCTATCCCATGCAATATTCTTGTAAAATTCAAACTTTGCACAAAAGTCTCATAAAAGAAGTATAGGATTGGTCGGAATTGTCTACATCATTGAGTTTTTTTTTTTAATCTTTATTCATATTTTTAAATGTATTACTATTTAAAAGCAATGTTTTTTCTAGGGTTGTCAGAAATAAATAAAAAAAATTATAAATTATTTATTTGTTCCACTGCCCGCTTAATTCAATGGAACAAATTTAAACAGCTTGTGCATCATGTTACATTCAAAATTGTCGGTTCATGATAAAAGGAAACTGAGTCCACACAGAATAGGGCTTTTTGGCTCCTGCAGGAGGAGAGAGCTAAGTTCAGCCACATCTTTCTCTCTCATGGGTCTCCTCGCAGAAGCCTTTTATTAGCAGATCATAACACATGGGGTGGGTTACAGAACAGTGTTCTTCTGACAAGGCAATTGATCAGGTCATAGGACAAAATGCTGCTCCTGATTTAATCACAGAATAGAGTGGTCTCCTGATAACTGTGATTATCCTTGCACAAACATCAGCAGTTTTCTAACAAAGTTGCATGACAGTTTGCAGTAAACAGAGTTAAGCATCTCATTTCTTTAATGTTCTATATGCACATGCATTAATTTTATAATCATAAACCTGACACATCAAATTGGCACTTTGAATTATTCACAGTTATTTTTTATAATGCAATAATTTGCATTGAAATAAAGTAATCTAACCTTTTCAGTTTTTCCTAGTTTTTAGTAGTTATTATTTGAATGTTTTTTAATTGTGTGTTTTCCGTTCAGGGGTCTCGAGGCGACCCGGGTAAGCAAGGCCCTCAGGGAAAAGATGGACCCAAGGTAAAGACATTAAACTGCAGTACAGAGTGTGTTATTTTTTTTAATTCAACTGGATGCGGTAAATACGAATAAAGGATAAATCTCTAACTGTATTTTATTTCCTTTTTTCTATTAAAATTCAGCTGTTGATAGTTTGGGTCCTTTGCTAACAAGCAGGGATTATCTCATTGAATTATTTCATCTCATCTCTCAGGGTCAGACAGGAGCTCCCGGATTTCCCGGTGACATCGGAGAGAGAGGCTACTCTGTAAGATAAACCCTGTTATTCTTAGTGAATAACTAATAACACTGCTAATAAAAGGAGATTTCATTTCAGCTTTTTGGTCTTATATGAACATGTCTGTTAATGCTTACCTTTTATAATGGGATCTCCATTTCATAATCTTATTGATTTTAATTTCATTAAATCAGTTCTGCTCTGCAAAGAGAGCAGAACTTAGTTTTCTAATTAGTTGTTTTGCATCAGTTATTATTTATTTCTTATATTGTGTGTAAATGGTGGGACAGTGATTTTTGTTGTTTATTTTTTTAAGCATATGCACTGATCGATGGCACTTTTTAAAATTTTGTTGTTCTTGTGACAATGACAATAAAGATAAATTGAAATTGAGAACTTTTATTGTCGTAATAAAACATGAGTTTTCTTGGAGTCTCTGAATATCAGTGGCAGAAGCTTTTCAGTACAATTAATTTGACCCAGATCTGACAAGAAAAACACTAACATGTGTTGTTCACACCTTTTTTTATCCACAAATCTCACTTTCACCAACCCCTCACTGCAACCCACAAACGAAGCCACATAAATAAATTTCCTGTTATTGTTTCGTGTTTCTTTCAAAATCTTAAATCTTGTTATTGATATTATTTACTTTTGGTAGGCATGAAATCTAATTCTAAGTCCTTTAAAAATCCTGCTTTTGGTCTTTTTGCACAGACCTTAAGCATACATTTATCCTGGGAAAACTTATCTCGGGCCTTTCAAAGCTGAATATTTGTAAAAAAAAAAATGTATCAAAACTGAATTGTGCACATTTCCCTGTAAAACAATCTATTACATACAATGAAAATATGCTTTTAGTTAAAGATTCTCAATTAGAATTGTGCATCACAGCAGATGTTACCCATCAGATTTCATTATTGTTTTTTTTAACCTTTGCATCATTTCTTAAAATAATTTCTACCCTTTTCTTTCAGGGTTATCCAGGACAAAGAGGACCTGCTGGACCAAACGGACCAAAGGTAAAAAACTGAGGATTGTGTTTTTATCTCATTATCCTCTGATGTTTTTCTAGAGCTTAAACAAAAATCAAAGTGTTGGGGAGTTCACATGTCGGTTTGTGAGGTATTTAAAAAAAAAAAATCTCTCTGGTGAGTTTCACTTTCACCATTCTGACCTTAGTCGTATCAACTTCGGAAGGAAAACAACAAAGTTGTTGTTTAAAAAAATTCCTTTGAGGTTTTAAAATGGTTTTGAGATTTTTTTTTGTTGATTTATTTGATTTTTCATGTAATTCCGGTTTGTTTTACAAGATTTGGAAAACCCATCCACTTGCAGAATGTAGGTCATGTTGTGAATGAGTAAAGGATGAGTGTAAAGTTCAGAAAGAATCTCACGCATCCTAACATAGTAATACTTTCACTGTACATTAACCCCAGTATTTCTACTGTCACTGCGTTAAATCAAATTAGGAAAATTTCACAGCTATACTTGATCTCTGATCACCTGTTTTTCAATTTCTGTTATGAACATCTGTCTTGATATTAAGATCTGATCAAGGTAGAGGTATCGGTGGAGTGTAGTTAAACTTGGATTTTGGTGTAGAGGGATTTAATTTAAACTGAATTTACAGTCAAAGCTTTTTGGTAATGTTTTTGCGACAATTTATCAAAAGGATTTCCCTAGAGCTTGAACGGTTACGGTAATACTGTAACACCTGGACAGAATCTGGAGACTTTATAATTCAACCGACACAAGGAATGAGCGTTATAAAAGAGTGTATTAATAAGTAAATTGGTGTTGCTGAAGCAGGAACTGGTTGGGACTGGAATCACTGTGTCAAAGGCCTTCATTAGTCCCATAGAATGGCTCCAAGATTGTGCCTCTTACCTGCCAGTAGGCTCAGTAGGTTGCTATCATCAAATGAATCTTAACCATAAGGTGAATCCTTTTTTCCCTGCAGAATTAATGAGTGTGTTTATGTGTAATCTGAACATAATTTTGTTAGTTATTCATGCATTGTAAAAATGAATTGATCTGCATGTCACTTAGTAAAAAAAAAAAAAAAATCTCATATATCCTGTCATATTATATGAGACTGATGACTTCTGTTGAAGTTTGTTGGTACGGAAGAGGATTAGGGCCACTGAAAAAAAAAAAAAAGTTAACTGATTTTTAAATGTTATTTCAGTTTAATATGAGAAAAAACTGACTTTTTTCTCAGAATTCTGACTTTAATCTCAGAATTCTGATTTTTGTTTCAGAATTCTGATTTTTGTTTCAGAATTCTGACTTTTTTCTAAGAATTCTGAGAGGTAACAGACATGTTAGCATCAAGCCATAGCCATGTCTGCTTTAGAGACTAGCTCTCTTGTTTTAATGACCATCTGCTCCTCTATTAATGAGGGGACCCCTCTGGCACATGAAAAGTTGCCTAATTCCGTCATTTTCCACCAATGTGTCACTGGCCACCTCAAATAACTCACATCTTTGTCAGTGAAGCTGAGTGCTCCCACATCTCTTCCTGCATGGTGCCCATCTATATTAAGATCCACAATTCTGAGATTAAAGTCAGAATTCTGAGATTAAAGTCAATATTCTGACTTTTTTTTTCATACTAAACTGAAATAAAAATTTAAAAGTCAGTTCATTTTTTTTTTCCCCAGTGGCCCTAATCCTCTTCCGTATGTTGGGGAAGAAATGTCTCGCTTTCATTTTCCCATTTTAATAGCTTTTATATCTATTATTGCTTTTGTCAGATTTAGGTTATCGTTCTTGTGACCTTTATGTTTTTTTTTTTTTTTTTATTAAACGACCGGTACCAGAAATTCTGTCCATGTACATATGTGCTAACTGATCGAATAATTCTAATATAGCACACCAAGGAGGCATGCATACCAGAAAACCTGAAATAAAAGTAAACTGTTAATTATCCTTTGATTAAATGTGTATTGGTGTAGTGACATTGACCCATTAAACTGAAGGCTGTTTGCATTTTAACTTCTCCACATAACCTTAATGATTCAAGTGTGTCCGACACGCTTTTTGTCACAAAGGTCCCTGGTGTGTTCAGTGTCGTTTATGCCATTTCTTTCTTTTCAACTTTTTTAAACCTTGCATTTTTTTTTCATTAGTGCACATCATAGGGGAAAACAACAGTTTGTGAGTTTTTAAATGTAATCTAATCTAATGTAAACACATACTTACATTTCAATGCATTAAATCATAAGAAATGGAAAGACCAAAATGGTCATTTCGCAATAGTCCCAACATTATTCTGTTCAGAAACCAAGTTCAGTCTGTTACATGAGTGCAGTAGGTATAGAAACCTGCTTTTTTTATCTGGTCGCCTTTGTTATCTCTAACCAACAGCTTGACACATCGAGAGAAAATTAATTTTCTGTTGGCTTTAACTGAGGCTTAACTGATTCAAGTTAGTAACATTTTTATTCTGTTGAGGATTTTTCAAGCTTTTGAAATAATTTTCTTGCACATCTACATGACACACAGGGCTGTCCCTAAATCTCTCAGTTTGAATTTGAGATGCCAAAAACCAAATTTTCTTTATTACTCTAAGTGCAACAGTGCATTTCTAAAGTTATTTGAAGGTAACTGGTGTCAAACTGCGAGTGAAAGTGAATGCATCTCAGAAATCATTTGGTCATTGAGTCACGCATATGAGATTTCATGGACAAGTTCCTGGAATTTCCCTGACTGTCCTCGCCTGAAAGGCATCTGTATGATTATTATAGGTATGTATATTACCTGTCAGTCATCAGTGCATTACATGTAAATAATGGTTCTCTTCTCATAGGAGTGTTTTAAAAACCATATAAAAACATCACTGTGGGGCTTTTCCAAAGGCCACACTTCATTTAGTGAGAACAGAAAAACTGAAAGTGAAACCAAACCATACTGCAGGGATTTCATTGTGTTTAAATATAAATAAAACACATTAAAACTAAATGAAGTGGCAGAACCACTTCTGTTCTCCTTAGTTTTCAGTTTCCTTTTATTTACAAAGAAGTACAGTCAGAACCTTTTGGGCCGTTGTTCTTCCAGCATGTTTCTGATTGTGGTTTCTAGTTTTATAGGTATATAAAGTGCAATTACTATTTGATGCACTGTGCAATAACCTGTTTCTCTATATTTGACACACAGTGCAATAACAATATCCATCTATATAAATACCCATGTAAACACCCTGTACAATAACCCTGTATAATAATCCTGCTAGAAAAAAATGGTGTCATATGTGGACACACTGCATATGTTGTAAATATCCCATGCACCTTTTTCCTCCTTTGACACGTTCTTCTTCCCCTTTGAATATTTGAGCTGATCTCCACTGATTAATAAAGTCAATCAATCAATCAATCAACCAATCAATAGTTGTAGCTAGTATATGAAAACCCTTAGTATATGTACCCAGTATTTATTAAAACTATTGATTAGATACATGCTGCATTTCTCATTCCTACATTGTTGAAACATTGTAAGGAAACTCAGGCTACGTGCATTTAGGTGCTTGAAAAAAAATGTACATGACGCCCCAAATATTTCATTTCTACTTAATAGGAAACCTAATTAAGTTCTTAAGCAACAGCGAAGATGCATCCAATAAAAAACAGAAAAACTATATAATTCCTCAGAGATCTCCTTGAAAATCACCCTTGTTCAAGTACACCTTAATCCAATGAACTTCTTATTACCAATCCTCTGCTAAACTTGATGATACACTTATAGAGGTTGGAATGTGGATGCAGCTAAAAATTTAAGGACCATAGCCCTTAAGGAGACTCCAGGTCAAACTATTTAAACTTTTTAACTGCTAAGCATTTGTGCTAGGAGTAAACTGGGAATTAAGGCAATATAAGAATGTGAAATCAAAAATGCCTGTTTTGCAATTTGTCAAAACATTTAATTGAAGGTTTCATAGTGGAACAGTTAAAAGCACTAATAGCCTTGAAACAAGAGGGCTGTAGATCTCTGCATGCAGTTTGAATCTTGCACCCTGGGAACAACCTTTGCATGTGACGGTTTTCTCTGGGTCATCTGGCCTTCTCCCATATTCTAAAAACATGAAAGGCCTCTCTTGATCTAAGTGTGAACGAGTGAATGATTGCTAGAGAGATTAGTAGTCTATCCAGGGTGTCCCCCACCTCTCCTGCAGTGACTACTGGAGAGTGAGTCTGCCTGCAATGATGCATCCCTGTTACAGACAATGGAAGATTGGAGTTTGCATCACGTCAGAAGTATTAGATTTTCATTTTACTTAATACTAGCCTGGAAGATTTAATATAAAGAAAAAAAATAAAACACTGATTTTCCTGTATGATGAAATTTTGGTATATTTTTTGTTTTTACTTCTGTGTTACACTTATCCGAAGGTCATTACAACTGACTGGTGTTTATGACTGTATTTCATCCACAATTACGTTCAAACCAATGAACAGGGGTGTCAAAAGTATTAATATTATTACATAAGTAGAAGTATAAATCCTACCGTTTAAGTATACTTTTGTAGAAGCTAGGGTTAGGGTAAGAAAAAGTAGAATGTATAACACAAAAGTAGAAACGAAGCGATAATAAGGAAACCAGGCCAATAAACTGTTTAAAAAACAAGAAAAACAACTGACCTTTATTAAGAACAATCAGAAAACAAGCAAAAGAAAATCAGAACATCATGGTCACTAAATCCTGACTAATTATGCGTTCTTTAAAATTTTGGCCTTACTGATTTTAAATATAATGTTATAAAAAGATTAAACATATTAACTCATTCTTTGTCACCTAAAGACTAATTTTATGCTATTGTCAGAAAACAGATGTATGGCACCTTTTAATAATGATAATATAAATATTTTTTTTTATGGGAATTTAAAAACACTAACAGTTCAAAAGCTTGCATTCCACCTCTGAGCTGTTCTTTATCTGTTTTTTTTCAAGTGGATCTTTCCTGTTGTTTTTTTTTTTTCCATAGGGCCCTAAGGGTTTAGGAGGTTTTCCAGGAAGTGATGGTGACCCTGGAGAGGATGTGAGTGGTTAAATCTAAGCCCCCAAAATGGCAGAAAATGTCATGTCAGCTGGAGCTATCCTAAAGATTGTTTTGTTTGGCCTATTTAGGGTCCGACGGGTGTCACAGGTTCAATAGGAGAACCAGGACAGTTTGGTGTTAAGGTAATTGTTCACTTTTTAAAAGATAAATATTGCTCGGAATGATACAATTTTTGTCCTTTGGCTATCTAAAAATCGTGACAGTTTGTATACATAATTTATCTATATATTAGCTTTAAGCTTCCTTTCAGTAAAGGGTTAAGCCTAATTCAAGGCAATCTTTGCTTTAGTTCGGAAAGACCCACTCTAAAGATTTCTGTCACACCTTGCCGATTTATGCCGCTTATGCCTGACGTCCATAAATCTCATAAAAAGCTGGCATATGCTGATATGTATAGTATTTTTTATAAATTTTGGGTGTATAAATAGTGTATTCATAACGATTCCAGAACATATGTCCAACAACAGCCTAACTTATGCATAATGCATGACAGCTTATTGCCCATGAAATAATGTAAAAGCTCGAGTCCTGTCCTGAGGGGGCAGTGATGCACCCAGAGGCGTCCTGCCTGTATAAAAAGATGTATTTGATCACAGTACTAACCTAGCTGCTATTTACCGCTCACTGAAGAAAGAAAGAATAAATAAACACAAAGAAAAAAGAAAATTTGCAGTCGCAGCAGATTCAGCGTCATGTCTTCTAGAAAGTTTCACCCTGTCGCTCACGCTATGATGGGGATGAAGTCTGGAGAACAGACATTTTCCCCTTCTATACCAAAACGCTGCGTATATGCCATCAAATGGCAGCTGTACGTTAGAAACTTATTCAGGGGTTGTCTAGAACACGTCAGATACGTTGATATGTGTTGGAGATAAGTTCTTGATAAGTTACGTACAAGTTATGTACAAGTTACTCATAGGTTTTGGTTAAGCTAGACACCACGACTTATGAGTATATTACACTTAATGTATGTCAACGTTCAGATAACTTACCTGTAACTTATGCACCATGTATAGGATACACTGGCATATGTTGAAAGCGTTTTGAGCATGCTCAAAAATTATTGACGTATGTCGATGTATGCTAGTGTGTTTCAGCGGACTTCAGCAATCTCATAACTTATACAAGACGTACCCATAACTTATCCAACGTATGCTAGCATTTTTGCCAGATTTTCCGTAAATCAGGCATACGCTGGTCTAAATCGGCAAGGTGTGACAGGGGGCTAACATAACTGCCTTCGAATTTTAAAAAGAAAGCTATTATATTTATCTCCTTAGGTTGTATTCGGCTATATTCGGATTTCTTGATTAAAGGCAGTGGATCTCTGTTGGTAAATCTTTTTTCTTCTGGGATGGCTTCTTCCTGCTTTACGGAAGAGGATTAGGGCCACTGGAAAAAAAAAAAAGTTAACCGATTTTTTAATTTTATTTCAGTTTAGTATGGGAAAAAAGTCAGAATTCTGACTTTAATCTCAGAATTCTGACTGAATTTTGATATTTAAAAAAGTCAGAATTCCCATACTAAACTGAAATAAGATTTAAAAATCACTAAACTTCTTTTTTTACAGTGGCCCTAATCCTCTTCCGTACTGCTTATCTTGTAGCTCTAACTCAGATAGGAAAAACCAACAGCTAGTTTTCTCTTCATAATTGATTCTCTGTACAGTTTATTGATTGTAACACAAATCTTAATGAAAGGTTCAGCAAATGTTTTACCCTCAAGGCCTGTTTTTCAGGTTCTGCAGATCTTTGGAAATTTTGTTGCGTAACATGCTGGCAGCACTTTTGGATTTTCTTTCCAAAACAAGTCCTGTCAAGTCCGTCTAACAGCCTGCTATAAATAGCAATTTCTGGAAATACCACCGCTCCCCCAAACAGAAAGTCCCACTTTATTGTTTATTTGAATTCCATGTTATAATTCTTCCATTAATTTCCAACTGTTCCTGTTCTTTTCCTGTATAGGGCAATAAAGGTGATCGTGGTGTGCGGGGACCCCGCGGTAGAGAGGGCCGAGTGGTGAGTTTAAGGAACAAGATTGTTAGAGTGTCTAGACATGAGAAATCTTTGTCTTCCAGAGAAAAGCCTGATGGTTTTTTTTTTCTAGATAACTACTGAGTACTTTTTTTTTTTTAACTTTGTCTGGTTGTTTTTTATAATGGGTTTTTCTTCCACGCTAATGGGGGAAATTTTTCAGCCATACTTTAAGAAAAAATATATGCTCACTTTTAATTTTTTCTACTGATGTTTCATTTAGAGTTAATCTCATGCACACATAAGGCATTTTCACAAAGCTAACCTGAACCATTTCATCTCTAAAACTTACCCTGAACCCTAAATCTCCTCTGGGTTGTTTGTGGGTTTTTTTTCATTTAACTTCATTTTAGTCTTAGTTGCTACTTTAATAAAAAAAAAAAAAAATGAATAAAACATGAAAAAAGAAAACATTTTCTATTAATTTCATAATTATCTAATGAAGGTTAGGGAAGTATGCCTGGATCCATAATAAAGCTTTAAGTCCTTCATGAAAGCATTTCCTCTATAAACTGAAGGAAAATTTCCTTCTTCATTAATTTTTTTAAAATAAAATAATAAATAAATGAAAATATAAAGATAAATAAATAAACAAATAAATAGTCATTATTGTAAGCTGCCGGTCTTAGGAAAACATAACTTGATATGGTATTTTTCAAAATCCATAAATCTTATCAATTATGTAGATTTTGAATAGGAGGCGCCCTAGAATGGACCCTTGGGGAACACCAAATGTGATTTTTGTGGCCTGTGATTTTAAATTACTTAGTGATACAGATATTGACCCTGTCATTTAAGTAGGATTTAAACCACTCCAGTTCTTAGCAAAAAGTTTTCCAGGTTTTCTAATAAAATGAAATGAACTGTGTCAAATTACAGTTCGAATTTATATGACTGACATTAAAACACCTTTATCAGGGCAGTCTATGTACTGTGGTTAAAGCCTGACTGGAAGATGTTCAAGCGACTGATTAGGTCTGTTCACACCGAACGGGGACTTCGCAGCTGATCTGGAGGTACCAAGCTGAAGTAAAAAACACTTCCAGTCGCTTTGTAAATCAATACCTGCCATGATGAGGTGCAACCAATGACCAGCAGCATGTAGGAGGCTTTTGCCTGCCTAGTGAATTCGACCGCGTGGGAAATACTTTTGCTGGGCATTCGAATATCAAGACAAGCAAAAGGTGACGGAACTGGTGAAATATAATATAGGTTTTGTGTTTGGTGTGAATTTAGGAAATTGTTGTGCTGTTTAAACACTGTTATTTCAGTAATCTCACTGATGAAAAGGGGGGTTGAGGCCTGTAGTTCTGCAGTAGCAGCTAGTCCAAGTCGCCGTTTTTCAAGAACTGTTCTCAGGGCCTGGAGGAAAACACCTGGCAAAAGGGACGTGTTTTTTATTAGAGTTAAATCATGCGCTATAACAGGCAGAACTATCTGACGAAAAGGCTTGGGGAAAAAAACACTGAGATGGCAGGATGAAGAGCATAGTTGGTGAACAATTTCTTTTAAAATTTTGTAGAGTATTTGGCAGAACTGGGACTTTTAGGCAAAATCTAATAGTTGGGGACAAATTTTAAACTTTAATCTTTTTATTTTTTGGGTGAAGAAGTTAGCACATTTGTTGCATAATAATGCTGTTTTGTAATTACGTCACTAACTAGAGAGTCTGCTAACACCATTAGCTGCAAACCTACACCATTTGATGCAAACCGTGAAAAACTTTGATTATGGTGTAAATATTTAGAAAACTATTCAACATGATTTCCAATGCTGACAGCATTATATAGTTATTTGTTACTTCTTAAATTATTCTGAAAACTAAATCTGTTTTGCTGTGTATATACTTTCACCAAATTGCACACAAGAGGCGGCAGGTGACATATGGATGGAAGAGGGGGCGTTAGGACAGGATTTCAGCTGGAGTGGAGGAGGCGGTGCTGTGGCTTGTTACACTTCTTATCTTGGTCTGCAGACAGTGCTAAACAGCCCACCTAGTGGTAAGCAGTGTTGGGCATGTTACTTTGAAAAAGTAATTAGTAATAGTTACTAGTTAGTTCTCCCAAAAAGTAACTGAGTCACTCACTCCACAATAAAAGTAACTAGTTACTAGTAAAAGTAACTATTGCTTTACTTTTGTGTTTCTCGCCCCCGTAACCCTCACCACCTGGTCCCCACCTTCTCTCCGTGTGTTTCAAAAGGCAGCTGAATAGAGTTGACGACAAAGACAAGAACCTGCAGAGAGGTTTGCATTTATTGCAACTCAACGTAAATGACATCATGGGGGAACGCTATCTGATGGGGCCTATAAACCCCGTCAGATAGCGTTTCCCTCTTTTTAATACTCTCAGGTTAAAATTAAGTTGTAGCAGCAAGAAAAATCTGATATTTTGAGAAAATGATCATATGGGGTAGTATAGGGTGACCAAACGTCTGTATTTCCCGGGACATATCCGTATTTCACGTCCTGTCCCGGGCGTCCCGTTTTTTTTTTTTTAGAAAGTGAGGAAATGTCCTGATTTTTTAAATTACCTTAATTGGACCATTAAATTTACAGGCACTAGGGCACTGCGCACGACGTGCGTGTGATGTAATCCCTGAGCCGCGTCAGAGCGGGCAGCCCTGTTCTTAATCAGAATATAGATAGCGTGGCTGTCAGTACGCCAACAACATGCAAAATCCCAAATGTATGTTTACTGACGATTTACAAAAGAGTTTCCCCGCTTTCTGACTGGGTCGAGACACATTGGAAGGCCTTGTGCACAGTGTGCAAAGCAGGCACCTGGACACTGAAAGTAAAGATAGTCTATTGATATGTTTGTTCGTTTTTGGTACATTTTGAGTTCTTTTTGCTACACAAGAGGTATTTTTTGTAATTAGCTCATTTATTAATTTATTTTTTCCAATAGCCTACAGAACAGACATTATTTCGTTCATTGCTGAGGCTGAGTATCAT